GACGCATAAGAGAGCCCAAGAATAATTAGTGTGCTGTGGGTTGTACAGGTGGCGCAATCACAAGGGTGATTCAGAAGATCCACAAAACAGACCCAAGCCGACATTTGGGCTATTGCAGACGGTGGGCGATGTGGGTGGCACTGTATCGATATACGACATTTCCATTTATGGCGGGGACAAAAAAAATCTGACGAAAAAAGAGCGCATGAAGCGGCGAGCCAGAAAAATGATCAAAGCCGGCCTCAGAGAAGACCAGTAAGTACAATTTTCTTTTTCGCTGGTCTTCTACAGCATGCCATCTGCACAGCTCCATTTTCAAGCTCGAACAAAAAACTGAAATTGCAACACAACTCGTCTCGTAAGATCGGTAACTGTGCTCTTCAGAAAACATAACGCTATCAGCCTCCAGTCTGGCTTGCTTTGCATTCTTTACTGAGTGACGCACTGTTGCCGATAACAACCGCCAGCAGTCTAGGGTGTTTGCTGCTTTCCCTTTCCTGGACCTACTTGGGAGAACTAAAGGCAAGTGTAATCAAATCTGCTGGTAAAAAAGCCAGCAGTCTTCATTTCCACGTGCTCTAACTCGTGTGAATGAAAGTAACATTCAAGCCGCTTCTTCCGCTGCTATAGAGGGTGCTCTGGGGGGACACGCGTGCATGCTTGAATTGCGGTTGCTGCTTCATGTGCTACCACCAAAGATCAGAACAGTAAGACCGATAAATCAATCATTGACTACACATACGTTTTGCCAACGCTCGGGTGTTCGCTTCCATCCCAGCAGTTTCAGACCCTCCTGAGAACACGAGAAAGCGCATCATATGCTGCTTTCAGGTGCTTCTGCTGCTCGCTGGAAGGTTCGCCGACCACTGCTTGCCTGATAATCTTTGCGGCCATTGCGCTTATTGTTTTCTGTTTCGTTGTGTTCGCGATGCTGAGCGCCGGAGCCGACATCGAAGCCACGTTTGCGGAGCCCCATGCAAATATGTGAAATGGCCGGTTATTTAGACTTGCCGTTCACTCGAAATCTCTGCCCAGTGTTTTGCACCTCAGTCGCCTGGATTCTGCAGTTTATACTGTCCCCTCTTATTTTCTCTAGATTATGCCATTTATACTGTTTCGACCTCACGTGCCATCCGTCTCTATTATTCATTTATATAGCCCGCTGACCCATTTCACCTGGATTGTGGGGCCCACAGTGCCCCCGTTCACCTCCCTACGTAGACCAATCTTCCCTGTTGCATCACAACAAAATAACGCTCGTAAAATCGTCTATTGTCTGAAACAGTTGTGGCGGATGGCTTGGTACCTATTAGTTGACTAAGAGGCACCTGGTCTCATTGTAGCTTTGTGTGCGAGCGTGGATGGAGGGTTAGCTTCGGCAAGCAGCTGCACAAAAGCGATGACAGGTCCCCGCTCCCTATCTCGGCTCCGTTCCCGCACAGCATCCATCCAGTCCTCATACTGTTGTTCACTTTTTTTTGTAAAAGGCAAATTTGTTCAGTGTGTTCGTGATCGGCCATCCATTCATCATTAACACATTGCAATTTGTGAATACTCTATGTTTTTATGCAATATGGGAGCATAGCTTT